GGAGACCAGTTTACAAGCACACTATTATTAATCTTCCCAGTGAGTTGCCTTCATTCCATGTGACACAGAATCCCTAGCGCAGAGGCCTAAGGGCAGCCTTTGGGGAGATTCTATTTTACATTCACAGCTAAGAATGGCTGGATGAAAACAGCTCAGGAGACAGAGAGCCACTGTATGGTGGTGTTTTTTCCCTTGTTTTTACAGTTTATTTGTAAATGCACGACAGTCTCCCAGCTAGTACTTCATTCTAACTGTGGGAGACAAAAGACACTCCAGCTGGGAATCCAGATGTTTAGACGGGCGTGGGTTGAGGACAACATCAGTCAGCAAAAGGAGCGGAGTATGTTTTGCTAGATTTCTTTTTTAAAGGTTTATTTGTTTTTATTGGAGAGTCAGCTTTACAGAGAGAAAGATTTTCCATCCATTGGTTTTCTGCCCAAGTGGCTGCAATGGCTGGAGCTAAGCTGATCTGAAGCCAGGAGCTTCTTCTGGGTCTCCCATGTGGGTGGAGGGTTCCAAGTCTCTGAGCTGTCCTTGACTGTTTTCCCAGGCCTCAAGCAGGGAGCTCGATGGGATGTGGAGTAGCTGGGACACAAGTTGCCATTCAAATGGGATGCTGGTACCACAGGGCAGAGGAACAGCCCATTGAGCCATGGTGCTGGCCCAACCTGAGGACTCGTAAACACAGACCTGAATGCTGCCCACATTCCCCCACAGGGGCCAGACAGAATCATTCCCTAACCCCTGCATCATGTCCTTACAGCTGCTCTCCAAGGACAAGTCCAGCCCCAAGACCCACCCTGACCTCTGTCTCTGTCCGGTGATCAAGAGAGTCAGCTCGCTTAGCTCTTCCGGGAAGCCTTTCTCCCCCCAGGGTTGCTGGCCCCCACCAAGTCCTGGTGGAGATGGGTCTGTTGGCGGCCATCTCCTTCCACCTGACAGCCTGGCTGGTGGTCAACAGAAGACTTGTGCAGCCTTAGGTTTGTTTAGTCAGCTTGTTGGGGGCGGATTCTGATGCTTGATAATGTCATCCATGACAAACAGAAGCAGCTTCCCACACTCACAGGCCCATTTGTGCTGACTGGGCAGTGCACTCATGCCTCTAGGGGCAGGCTTGAGCCTCTTCCAGGATTCATGGCTGTATTTTTTCATTATTCAGGGTTGCCTGATTATATCCTCTGGTCAGTGATTTGTAGGTCTTTCTGTCCACTTTCCTTAACTCAAGTACTTGTTAATTTTTGCTTAATGGCAAGTGCCAGGTTATACATACAGTATGTGGTCCATGTGCACTGAAATGTTTCCCCAGCATAGAAGATTTGATGAAAACAAAGTATCAAATCTTTAGTAGCCAGTAGCAGAAATAATATGTTTAAATAAAATGTAAAAGCCTCATAGAAGTTGAAAATTCAAAATAAATGTGGTTGCAGCCAAACTGGGGGCAGAGTATGATGGTGGAAAAGGTATTATAAGGGCCTGGTACAATAACCTAGTGGCTGAAATCCTTACCTTGCATGCATCAGGATCTCAAGTAGGCACAGGTTTGTGTCCTGGCTGCTCCACTTCCCATCCAGCTCCCTGCCTGTGGCCTGGGAAAACAGTCAAGGACGGCCCAAAGCCTTGGGACCCTGCACCTGTGTGAGAGACCTGGAAAGAAGTTCCTGGCTCCTGGCTTCGGATCGGCGCAGCACCAGCCGTTGTGGCCACTTAGGGAGTAAATCATCGGATGGAAAATCTTCCTCTCTGTCTCTCCTCCTCTCTGTCCATCTGCGTTTTCAATAAAATAAATAAATCTTAAAACAACAACAACAAAACCTCCCAGCCTAGGGATCTCTCCCAGAGAGGGGTCCCAGGCCTGCAAGCTTGCTGTCCAGTCACGTCCCAACCTAGGGGTCTGTTCCAGAGAGGGGTCCCAGGCCTGCAAGCTTGCTGTCTGGCCAGTGTAGTCCTGTAAGAACACATGGAATGTTGTGTAAAGCAAGAAAGCAAACTACATTTTGAAAAGGTTTCCCAGAGAACAGACTATCAGGATGGAACAGCCTGGAAGTTGTACCAGGGACATCTAATGATGCAGAGTTTCAAACATTTGTCTACACTGACTCTCACTGAACTTTTCTCCTGTGGTGGCAACACGCACTTTGTCTCGCACAAGATTAAACTAGTGAAACCAGCATTGTGGCATAGCAAGCTCAGCCACTGCTTGCAACATAGGCGTCACACATTGCAGTCCCGGCTGCACCACTTCTGACTTGGCTCCCTGTGATACACCTGGGAAAGGGGCGGGTGGTGGCCCAACACCCACACAGCATGTCCAGACCAAGTTGTGGGTTCCTGGCTTCAGCGTGGCCCAGATTCAGCTTTGGGGCTGAGTTGTGGTGTGATCTAAGCAGCAGCCAGTCATGCCAACTCCAGAGCAGAAAAGGGTTGGATAACTCACCTATAACACCCCGGTGACCACTCCTCCCCAAGCCCTGCTCATGCGAGACCCTCTCTGAAGAATCATGTGTTCCACTTTGGAAGCCGCATCAGTGAGACCTGGATGCAGCAGCTCCTGTAAGGGTGACACTGGTGACCTGGCCAGGCAGGGCAGCCCCAGGTCCCCGTCCTTGGCAGGCGTCATGAGGTTGGAGTTCAGCTTGGAAGACAGACTCTGCTGACCCCTGCTTCTACAGCTTCACTTTCATTTCTTCAGCTCGAGTGACCCCAGGTGCCCTGGAGTCGACCTCTGGTCCAAACTGCTAATGCTAGCTCTTCTCTCTGTAAATCTGACTTTCCAATAAAAATAAATCCTTTTTAAAAAGCTTTATTTTTTTTTTATCGCAAAGTCAGATATACAGAGAGGAAGATCTTCCATCCGATGATTTACTCCCCAAGTGGCCACAACGGCCAGTGCTGCACCGATCTGAAACCAGGAACCAGGAACCTCTTCTTGGTCTCCCACACGGGTGCAGGGTCCCAAGGCTTTGGGCCACCCTTGACTGCTTTCCCAGGCCACAAGGCAGGGAGCTGGATGGGAAGCGGGGCCGCTGGGATTAGAACCAGCATTCGTATGGGATCCTGGTGCATTCCAGGTGAGGACTTTAGCTGCTAGGCCCCGGCGCTGGGCACAAAATAAAGAAATACAAAACGAGAGAAAACAAAAGTTCCAGGACTGGCATGGTAGCCTAGTGGCTATACTATAGTTCTTGCCTTGCACAAGCCAGGATCCACATGGAGGAAGCTCCTGGCTCCTGGTTTCGGATTGGCTGAGCGCCAGCCATTGCAGCCACTTATGAAATGAATCAGCAGACAGAAGCTTTTCCTCTCTGCCTCTCCTCACTGTATATCTGACTTGCCAATAGAAATAAATATATCTTGGGCCTGGTGCGGTGGCCTAGTGGCTCAAGTCCTTGCGGGAATCCCATATGGGCGCTGGTTCTAATCCTGGCGGCCCTACTTCCCATCCAGTTCCCTGCTTGTGGCCTGAGAAAGTAGTGGAGGATGGTCCAAAGCCTTGGGACCCTGCTCCCACGTGGGAGACCTGGAAGAAGCTCCGGGGCTCCTGGCTTCGGATTGGCACAACACCAGCCATTGCGGCCACTGTGGAAATGAATCATCGGACAGATCTTTCTCTCTTCCTCTTGTGTATCTGACTTTGCAATAAAAATAAATCTTCAAAAAAAAAAAAAACCTTAAAAAACAACTCCATCAAATAAAGGGATAGAAACTAGCAATAAAAGAATTGTCTTAATTTGAAAACTATTTAAAATACACATGAGGGCCTGGCACGGTGGTGCAAGTAGTTAAAGGTCCTCGCCTTGCACGCCTGGGATCCCATATGGGCGCCGGTTCTAATCCCGGCAGCCCCGCTTCCCTTCCAGCTCCCTGCCTGTGGCCTGGGAAAGCAGTCGAGGACGACCCAAAGCTTTGGGACCCTGCACCCGCGTGGGAGACCAGGAAGAGGCTCCTGGCTTCAGATCGGCATAGCATCGGCCATTGTGCTCACTTGGGGAGTGAATCATCGGACAGAAGATCTTCCTCTCTGTATATCCGCCTTTCCAATAAAAAAATAATAAAAATAATCTTTAAAAAAATACACATGAAAGATCTGTATTTTTTGCAGTTTTGAACACCTTAAGGTATAGGAGTACCCTCTATTCTGGCAGCTGAGTTCTACACTCACGCATGATAGGTTAGATGCCCAGGGTTTCCAGGGCAGTCCTGTGGTCACTACAATGGATTATGTGTTAGGAACGAATTTCCAGTTTGGAATTTTACCAGAGAGCCAGCACATCTCTTCTGATCTTGCAGAAAATTAAAGGACTAGATAAACAAGCTTTCTCAGTTAGGATCTCCAACCATTTTGCATGACATTATTTGATGGCAATTTTTCTGTCACTTTATCCACATGTTTCTTTAGCCTGGGAAAGCAGTGGAGGACGGTCCAAGCCTTGGGACCATGCACCCGTGTGGGAGACCTGGAAGAAGCTCCTGGTCAGCTCATCTCTGGCCATTGCAGTCACTTGGGGAGTGAATCATTGGACGGAAGATTTTCCTCCTCTGTCTCTCCTCCTCTCTGTGTATCTGACTTTCCAATAAAAATAAATAAATCCTTAAAAAAAAAAAGGCCCAATTAGATTCAGGAAAGACATGAAATGACTTAAGAAAAAAACAAAAACAACAACTTTATTTCGGGCCCGGCACGGTGGCGCAGTGGTTAAGGTCCTCGCCTTGCACGCCCCTGGATCCCATAGGGGCGCCGGCTCTATCCCGGCAGCCCCGCTTCTCTTCCAGCTCCCTGCCTGTGGCCCGGGAAAGCAGTCGAGGACGACCCAAAGCTTTGGGATCCTGCACCCATGTGGGAGACCCGGAAGAGGCTCCTGGCTTCGGATCGGCATAGCATCGGCCATTGCGCTTACTTGGGGAGTGAATCATCGGACGGAAGATCTTCCTCTCTGTCTCTCCTCTCTGTATATCCACCTTTCCAATAAAAAAAATAATAATAAAAATAAATCTTTAAAAAAAAAAAACTTTATTTGGAATGTGTATTGGGACAGTGATTCTGACACCTTCATGTGCCCTACTCCCTTCAAACGTACTGTTATGGCATCTTTACCAGTTCCTCACAGCTGTGATTGTTGGGGTGAGGACAGCATGTCCAGTGTGCCCTCAGGAGCTCACCCATAGACAGGGATCCCCCGAACCGCTTGGGGTGAAAGCTGCCTGCTGTGGGTCAGAGCTTCCTGTGGACCTTCTGGTGCTGGATGAGGTGCCCGTGCTGGTTGAAGGCGCGTCCGCACTCCGCACACTCATAGGGCTTCTCGCCCGTGTGGATGCGCTGGTGCTGGATGAGCACCGAGTACTGGCTGAAGGCCTTGCCGCAGCGGTTGCACTCGTAGGGCTTCTCGCCCGTGTGGGTCCTCAGGTGCACAATCAGAGTCGCCTTCAAGCTGAAGGCCTTGCCGCACTCCGTGCACTGGAAAGGCTTCTCGCCTGTGTGGATCCTCTCGTGCTGCACCAGGGAGCGGCGTGCGCTGAAGGCATGGCCACACTCCCCACACACGTAAGGCTTCTCCCCAGTGTGCACCCGTTGGTGCTGGATGAGATGCGAGTGCTGCACAAAGGCCTTCCCACACTCGTAGCATGCGTATGGCTTCTCCTCTGTGTGGATCCGCTCATGGTTCATCAAGGTGGAGCGGTGGCTGAAGGCCTTGCCGCACTCGCTGCACTCGTAGGGCTTCTCCCCGGTGTGTACGTTGTGGTGCTGGATGAGCACCGAGCGGTCACTGAAGGCCTTGCCACACTCGCTGCACGTGTAGGGCTTCTCCCCGGTGTGGGTCCTCTGGTGCTGCAGCAAGGTCCGCTTCACACTGAAGGTTTTCCCACACTCACTGCACCTGTGGGGCTTCTCTCCGGTGTGCACGCGCTGGTGGCTGCGCAGCACGGTGCTGTGGTTGAAGGCCTTCCCACACAGTGGACACACATATGGCCGCTCGCCCGTGTGGATCCGCTGGTGCTGGATGAGATGTGAGAGCTGAGTGAAGGCCTTCCCACACTCGAGGCATTCATGAGGCTTCTCCCCCGTGTGTATCTTGTGATGCTGAGCAAGATCCGAGCTCACCCGGAAGGCTTTTCCACACTCGTTACACTCATAGGGCTTCTCGCCCGTGTGGATCCTTCTGTGCTTACTGAGGACAGAGCTCTGACTAAAGGCCTTCCCACACACCCCACACACATAGGGTTTCTCACCAGTGTGGATTCGCTGATGCTGAAGGAGGTGGGAGCTCCGGCTGAAGCACTTCCCACACTCGATGCATATGTACGGTTTTTCTCCGCTCGGAGCTGCTGGGTGCTGAGTGAATGCCTCGCTTTGCTTCGACAGCTGGCCATCACGGTGGCCATCAGAGTTTGGGCAGACTGTCTTATTAGGTCCTTGATTGGTTCCCACCAGAGTCAGATTCAACTCTGTATTTTGCTTCTCCTCTTTAGTCTCACATTCTGAAACAAATCCAGAGTGAAAATGTTAACACTGCCCAAAACTGCTCAATGGCGCCAGTATGGTGGTGCATCAGATCACAACCTCTTACAACTCCTCCTCTTCTTTTTTTTTTTTTTAAAGATTTATTTATTTATTGAAAAGGCAGATGTACAGAGGAGAGACAGAGAGGAAGATCTTCTGTCTGATGAGTCACTCCCCAAGTGAGCACAACGGCCGATGCTATGCCAATCCGAAGCCAGGATCCAGGAACTTCTTCCGGGTATCCCACATGGGTGCAGGGTCCCAAGGCTCTGGGCCGTCCTCAACTGCTTTCCCAGGCCACAAGCAGGAAGCTGGATAGGAAGTGGAGCTGCTGGGATTAGAACCAGCATCCATATGGGATCCCGGGGCGTTCAAGGTGAGGACTTTAGCTGCTAGGCCATGCTGCCGGGCCCAACTCCTCCTCTTCTAGTCCAGCTCTCGGCCAAAAGGCATCGACTACTTGAGCCCCTACCTCCTGAGTGGGAGACTTGGATGAAGCTCGTGGCTCCTGGCTTCAGGTCTGGCAGTTAAGGCCATTTAAGGAGCAAACCAGTGATGGAAGGACTCTTTGCCTTTCAAGTATTCTTTAAAAACCCGCAGAGTGCACCCCTGACACTGGCTTTGCTGATAAAGACACAGCATACATGTGTTTGGATATAAACAGGACAATCGCAATCACTGGAGTCAGAAGACAATGTCTCCAAACAGGAGCCAGCAGGGCTGGCAGGCACGTTACACAGAAACCTGCAATCCCATCTGAAGCCATTCTCAGGCAGAGTATGTGGGGCACACAACAGCAGGACGTGCCCAGCACCACAAGCAGCAAATTCTGTGCCCACGGTGGGGTGCAGAACTTCAGCCTCTTTTGATTCCTTCTCTTCTTATTCCCCACATTAGCATCCAAGTCCTTCACATAGTTAAGTCTCTGTCCCTCTTGTTTCTTACTCTTTCTTGATCAATGTTTGTGTTACTGGTTCATTCCCCCAGTGCCTGTGGCCTGGCCAGGCAGAAGCCAGGAGCTGATAACTCAATCCAGGTCTCCCAGTGCTTGAGCCATCACTACTGCTATCCTGGGTTCCATTGCAAGAAGCTGGAGTCAGGACTTGGGCCAAGCACCGCATTCTGGGACGTGGGGATCCCCGTGTCCTGACTGCTCTACCAGACCGTTGCCCCTTCCCTGCCCCACTTTCTAACTTTATATCATGATTGTTTTTATAGTTTCAACTGGTCCCACTATTTCTTCAGGTATGATATATACTGCACATATGGTATAAAACACAATACTGTGCTTCTGTTTCTCCCTTCCCTGTTATTTCTCTCATATATCTGACTTCAATATAATCTCGCAGCTAGAGCGAGGGGGTGGCCCGTGGGTCCTGGACGTGTGGAGCTCCATGGGGCAGAAGCACCCGAGAGCCAGCTGCTTAGTATGTGAGTGGAGCTGCTTCCCCTGGGTGCTGAAACAGACCTGGCACAGGAGGCCAGTCACTCCTCTGGTCCCCTCACTGCAGAGTTGAGCACAATCTTGCAGGATGGTGGGGGCAGTGCTGCAGAGCACACAGCCAATTCAGAGATGGGAGGGATGCAAACCGCAGCCTGAGGGGAGAGCCTTGGGCCTATGGGACCCTTGGGAGCTCTGCCCTAGAGAGAGTCCAACAGTGCTAAGCGGGTGGAGGCCAGGGCTGGGTTAAGGTTGACCCACGAACCTGGAATTTAATTCAGGCGTCTCATGAAGGTGGCAGAGACCCAAGTATAAACTCCCTTCTGTGCTTCTTTCCTTCTTTCTCTTGGATCTACTTGTTTGAGGGAGATTCTACAGCTGCTAACTCCCAAATAGCTGCAATGGCTAGGGAGGATCAAGCTGAACCCTTACCCTCACCCCTAACCCTAACCCCTCACCCTCACTCCTAACCCTAACCTCTCACCCTCACCCCTAACCCTAACCCCTCACCCTCACCCCTAACCCTAACCCCTCACCCTCACCCCTAACCCCTCACCCTCACCCCTAACCCTAACTGTAACCCTCACTCTCACCCCTCACCCTCACCCCTAACCCTCGAATGCCTTTGGGGTCTGTCACGTGGGTAGCAGAGGCCCAAGCACTTGGATCACCACCCATTGCTTTTCCAAGCATATCAGCAGTGAGCTGTATTTTAAGTGGGCAGCCAAGACTTGAACTGGCACTCTGATGTGCAAGCAGCAGCTCAGTTTGCTGCCCTGCAGTACCAGCCCCTGCTTTACGCCTTTCTAAGTCAATCAGGTAATTCTCAAAACCCACACATTCCATCCTCACAAGACCTGCCGTATGCCCGTCTTGTTCCCACCTGGCCCGCATGCCTGCCTTTCATCCTTTGCACTGAGCTCCACCTGCCTTGCTTCCTTGGATGCCTTCCACAGGTGAGGGCTGATGGGTCGCAGCATGTGGAGGCAGTTCTGTCAGCAGCCCACAGCTCCGCCCATGACCCATCTGGTCTTCAGTGAAGGAGGGCAGCTATGCTCACCTGAATGGTCACTTCCTGGGTGTGTGCTCTTCTCTGCCTCATTTCCATCCAGGACCCAGGGGTCTTCCCCTCGTTCCAGCTGGGAGATCACAGTGGGCTTGGATCCTGGAATTCCTGTTTATGGGGAAGGAAGTCCCTGTTTACACAATTCACCAGGGCACTTTGACATTAAGATTGACTGGATCGACATCCTGCCAGAGCTGAGCTCCAAGGAGGCAACTACTGGGTCACCTCCAGGACCAGCCTGCCTGAGGTCTTCATCCCCCACACAGACGAGGCCTGCTCAGGGTCTTACCCAGTGAAACCACGTTCCCGTAGGTCTCCATCATCACATTCCGGTAGAGGCCTCTCTCCGCTGGGCCCAGCTGGTTCCATTCCTCCTGAGAGAGCAGCACGGCTACGTCATCGAAGGTCACCTGGGCCTGCAAGGACAGGAGCTGTTGACAGCCAAGACGGAGTCTCAATCTTGTGATAGAAGCAGCTGTTTGTGGCAGGGTGGCTGGGGAGTTGGCACACCCTGTGACTCACCGGGGTGATGGGAAAGGGCCATGGAATTCAAGAGGTACAGCAACTCCCAGGTTGCCATCAGGGCTCTGGATACAGGAAGACATACAGGAGCTTCGGTGAGGGGCCCTGCTCACCTGAAGTCCTGATGGGGGTAGGAGCTGGGTGGCTGCCATGATTCAGTCTTCTGGGGGCTGAAATTGGAGGAGCCTGTGGATTGAGAGAGGAAGGGCACATGAGGGGTCCAGTGTTACTTACCACAGACCCCAATTTTCTAGGAGTCCATGGGGTTCCTGGTCCTCTGTGCAGGTCAGCGAAAGGGGCTGAAGTACAAGGGGGTGCAGGCTGCAGTGCCAAGAAGTCTGAGCAGGCCCAGCATGATGGCTCAGTGGCTGAATCCTGGCCTTGCATGTGCCAGGATCCCATATGGGCACCAGTTCATGTCCCGGCTGTTCCACTTCCCATCTAGCTCTGCTTGTGATCTGGGAAAGCAGAGCCTTGGGACCCTGTACCTGCGTAGGAAACCCAGAAGTTCCCAGGTCTCCTGGCTTTGGATTGGCTCAGCTCTGGCCATTGCAGCCACTTGGGGAGTAAGCCAGCAGACGGAAGATCTTTCTATCTCTCCTTCCCTCTCTTAATCTGATCTGCCTTTCCAATAAAAATAAAAATAAAAAATAAAAATAAATAATAAAAAATAAAAATTAAAAAATCTTAAAAAAAAGAGAGAAAGAAATCTGAGCAACAGGTAGAGACAGGGTTCACCCAGAGCTTCTAGGGTTGCGGGGTGCAGTCAGTGAGGGTCTGCTTACCTGGGCCCATGTCCTGCCTGTAAACAAGGACAGCTGTTGTCCAGGGACCTGTGTGAAGCTGTCACTGACACTGGGCCAAGGAGATGGGGCCTGGCAACCAGGGTGGGACTTGGTGGTTCTGTTCAAGGTCCATACTCCTATGGAATTTCAATGCCCAGGCTGAGCATATTCAGGTAGTCCTGGGGTGTAACAGAGTCCACGTGACCCGGGGATTTGGTCATCTGGGGCTGACAAGTGCTGGCTCTTCACCAGGACAAGGTAGGCTGGGTGTCTGACACCCAGATGGCCAGGCAAGGCAGGGGTGCTGAGAACTGTCCTAGAAGTTTGTTCTATAGAAAGTGGGTTCACAGTCTCCTGGAGCGTTGAGATCTCCAGGCAACAGGGAAACAGGAAACCAGCCAGCGAGCAAGGGCTTGAGTCACTCATGGGGAAATGCAGAATACAGCAGGCTCAGTGGGCGCCATGACCAGGAAGGGCCGTGTCAGGATGCTGGAGGGCTCAGCGGGCACCGTGTCAGGAGTGGGCAGTGTCAGGATGCTGGAGGGCTCAGTGGGCACCGTGACTGGGGTGGGCAGTGTTGGGATGCTGGAGGGCTCAGCAGGCACCGTGACCAAGGAGGGTCATATCGGGATGCTGGAGGAAAGGACCTGGGGGCACAATGTAGGAGCCATCACAAACCTGTCCTCTTTACATTTCAGACAGCTCTCAGAACATTCCCAATAAACCAACAGCTGCTTCTCAGGAAAAGGACAGAGGAGTTGAGTGGTGGCAAGAGGCCGTTCAGCCTCTATTCTGTCCCCTAGATGCATGTGCACACCGTGGAAGAGAAATACAATTCTAACCAGAGCTCCAAAGGGGGCGGGTTAAAGGAGAGAGTCAAATCCGTAATTCCTATGAATCTGAATGCTGGAAAACAGGAAAGGCTGGAAGCTGAAGGCTGGCGGCGGAGCCTCCCAGCCCAGTTACCAGGGGCTACTGTCATCAAACCAGCCAGCTGCTGCTGACACAGGGACATATGGAGCCAGACGCAGATACTGAGAAATTGTGCTTTTGTTAGAGTATTGGTATAATGTTACTATGTTAAAATGTTAAGAATATTAGTGTTAGGTGATATTAGGCCCTTTTGGGTGAGAAGCCACTACTTCGCTAGGTCAGAAGGCACCTGAACTGTGGGAAAGCTCTACTTTAGTGATAAATCTGTCTCCCTTGTTTCTTTATCTACCATCTAACCCAGGTACAGAAAGGCATGGGCACAGTTCCCCCGGCCCCAGGGACGGGAGGAGCCATAAAAGACTGGAGGAGCCATAAAGACAAGGGTGTCAGGATGGGATGAGCCGTAAATAATAAGTGTGGGAATGTAAACAATAAGTGTGGGAACGTAAATAATGAGTGTGAGAATGGAACAGATTGCTTGCACCTAAATTTGTTACTTTTGAGTTGACTTTGATATATGTTACAGCCAAGACGGGGTATATAATCTCCAGCCTTATGTTAAGTCGGGGTCCGATCCACTTGGCTGGCCTGTGTGCCCCAAGCACGATCTGACCCCAGCATGCTGGCACAATAAACTCTGTTTGCTTTTTGCATTACCAGCAAGACTCTTTGTCGTTTTCTGGGGGTTGACTAGCTCGCACCCTAATGTCCGGGCGGGGAGCTCTGGCCCGGACTCTAACTTTCAGTTCAGTGGGAACTCAATAAGGGAGGCCAAACAATCCTTTTTGATTTAGTGTGACAGCAACAAAGCCTAGTGGCTCTGCTCTTGCCCTGACACTTGCCCACTTCCTCTCCCAATACACTGACCCTTCCTGTGAGTCTCTCAACGTCCATTCTCCCAGGAACCACATCGTGTCCAGCAGACGCTCCTTTTATAGTACCCCTTCCACAGGCAACACTGTTTCCTACCCTTGCAGCATCTTGCAAGACACAGCCATGCCAATCCTGTCACCATCACTCCACTGCTGGCAGGGAGGACGGCTTCCCAGGCCTTCCTTATCCCCTCCCTATCTTGTCTAGCTTGCCATGTGTGCCTCCTGTCCTTGTCTGAATGTGAATTTGACCTCTGAGACCCTGGAAACCTGGCAGAGGTGGTGGTTACTCACACCGTGCGCTAACTACATCTGCATTGGAACCCAACGATGAATATTCACAGAAGTGTGCTTTGTAGCCAGTTCAGCTGACAGGGCTGGACTGGCCAACTTCTGCTCCTGTCTGTGTGCCCCCCCGCCCCCCATGCATGTGCATCCTCTGTGGATAGCTGCAGGATGGTGCAGACCAAGCCTGGTCGTCCAGAGTACAATGTTGAGCTGACTCCAGAAGAGTCCTTTCTGAGGCTGTGGAGCTGCTGTTGCACCTTCCTCTGACTCAACATCTTCACTTCAAGGTTTTATAGCATTTCAGCCCCTCACCATCCCACCCCTCAACTTCCCCCTTAGGTACCTGTCCCCAGCTTGGTTTGGGAAATCACAAAACCCTCCTCTCCTCCCTCTTCACTCATCTCTCACTTCTCTAAGTATTTTCCAAGTACACCTAGAACCTGTCACAGTCCAACCCTTATCCTTGCTTGCTGTCCCCACCCTCAGAGCTGGCCCCAGGTGTCATGTCCCCCATGCTTCCCATGGGAGCAGCAACTGTCTTCAGGACCCAGCACTCTGAGAGCCCTCCAGCTTCTTTAGACCCTGCAGTCCCTTTCCTCTGCCCAACAGCCTCAACTGGCTCTCACATCATTGCTTCCTGCTGTGCCGGCAGCCCAGAAGTGGGCCCAGCAGTGGAGACCACAGTTGAACACTTACCAAGTAAATGAACAAATCAGGAAAATGATGCGGTCATCGCTTACATCTTCAGCAGAGCACCAAGATCAGAGCACCTGCTGTTCACAAGGCAGTGTGGGACCGCTGCTCACTGTCAGCAAGGCCGCGGGGGCCTTGGGGCCCATCAGTAGATTCCTTACACAGACGCAATGATGGTGACACAAGCAGACACCAACACAGTTTTACACACAGCACGTGTTGTGGGCTGCTGGATGGCGTGTCAAAGTCCAGGCTAAAGACAGCTTGTAGATGGTAAGCGATGACTCCAAACCCTAGAACAGCATGTGTGTCACAGGGTCCTGGGGATGAGCCCTGCCTTACCCTGTAAATCTGGGAGATGAAATATTCTGTAGGGCCCATGAAGTCACCATGGCTAGCGAGAGGACAGTGCTCAGAGCCGACACTGCTGGCCAAGGCTGCTGGCAGCTCCGCAGCCTGTTGCCAGCGGCATCTGTATGTACTGGCCACATGCCGTACCCAAAATGGCGCCGGCCGGAAAAGCCACACCTTGGTTCCTGGTGGAGAGTTCCTGCGCAGTAAGCTGAGGCGTGGCCGGCGCATGAACACTGGGACTGACGAATCCAGTCGCCCAGGACCCTGCGTAATCATGACGCCGACCTATCATCGGCGGAGGCGGGGCTAGTCAGCACATAAGAGCAGACAGCCTGCCGGGGGTCGGGCCTTTCCCTCCTCATCTTGGTGCGCGCAATAAAGATTACCGCAGAAGACTTCACTCGCGTCTGCCTCTTATCGCCGGACGATAAGAAACGTGGGCGCGACAGCAGCCTTAAAAAGGACTCTCCTGGAGTCAGCTCAACACTCTGCTCTGGATGACCAGGCTTGGTCTGCACCATCCTGCAGCCATGCACAGAGGATACAATTAGATTACATGGAGAAAAGACTCCAAAGGCGTATGTGGGCTGCATGTGGCAAGGAGAGGGAAAGACGGCTCTGGGGAGCTTTAACAACAGAGGTACCTCACCGGACTTCCCGCTAAAGAAGACTGAAGAGAGGGCTGAGTCTTGGAAGATCTTCTGTCCATTGGTTCACTTCCCAAGTGACAGCAACAACACCAATCCAAAGCCAGGAGCTAGGAACTTCTCCTGAGTCTCTCATACCGGTGCAGGGCCAAAGGCTTCGGGCCGTCCTCGACTGCTTTCCCAGGCCACAGGCAGGGAGCTAGATGGGCAGTGGAGCTGCCAGGATTAGAACCAGCGCCCATATGGGATCCCGGCCCGTGCCAGGCGAGGACTTTAGCTGCAAGGCCACCACGCAGGGCCTGGGGGCAAGTCTTACAGCAGCAGAGAGGGAAAGTCTTATCACATCTCTGCTGGGGATGACTTTCCCATATTGCCAAACAAAATGTGTGTGAAAGTATGGTTGCAGTCTGCTAAAAAAACGTACAAAATGAAGTTTAAAGTGGCAATAAATAGTCTTTGGCAGGTCCAGGTGTGCGTCTGAAGTAGACTCACAAGAAAGCACACAGCTGCTCAGGGGGTGGAAACAGGCCGCAGAACCCCAAGGCTTAACTTCAGGGTTCACTCTGCAGAAACACAGGCACTCGGATGAAAAAGAAAGGGATGTTTTTTTTTGGTTTTTGTTTTTTTTTAATTATAATCTTGGGTCTGGCATTAAGGCACAGAAGGCTGAGCTGCCAGCTACAATGCTGGCATCCCTTATGGGGCAAGTTTGAGTCCCATCTGTTCTATTTCCAATCCACCTCTCTGCTAATGTGCTGAGGAAGACCGAGTGATGCCCCAAGTACACACAGGAGATCTGGCTGGCTTCCAGGATCCTGGCTGCAGCCTTGTCCACTCCTGGCTGCTGTGTGGCCATCTAAGAACCAGCATATGGAAGATACCTCTTTCTAACTGGTTTGCAAGTAAATAATTAAATCTTTTTTTAAAAAAGATTTATTTTATTTTTATTGGAAAGGCAGATATACAGAGAGGAGAGACAGAGAGGAAGATCTTCCGTCCAATGATTCACTCCCCAAGTGAGCACAATGGCCGATGCTATGCTGATCCGAAGCCAGGAGCCTCTTCCGGGTCTCCCACGCGGGTGCAGGGTCCCAAAGCTTTGGGTCGTCCTCGACTGCTTTCCCGGGCCACAGGCAGGGAGCTGGATGGGAAGAGGGGCCGCCGGGATTAGAACCGGCGCCCATATGGGATCCCAGGCGTGCAAGGCGAGGAACTTAACCACTTGCGCCACCGTGCCGGGCCCTAAATAATTAAATGTTTAAAAAAACATAAATGATAAAAAGTTTTTTCAAAAAATTATAATCCTGGGCCTGGTACAATGGTTCGGTTGCTAAATTCGCATTACATGCGCCGGGATCCTGTATGGCCACTGGTTCTAATCCTGGTGGCCCCACTTCCCATCCAGCTCCCTGCTTGTGACCTGGGAAAGTAGTGGAGGACGGCCCAAAGCCTTGGGATCCTGCACCTGCGTGGGAGACCTGGAAGAAGCTCCTGGCTCCTGGTTTCAGACTGGCTCAGCTCCAGTCATTGTGGCAAATTGTGGAGTGACCCAGCAGATGGAATGTTTCTCTTTTTCTCCTTCTCTCCGTAATTTGCCTTTCAAATAAAAATAAATAAATCCTCCCCAAATAATAAACCTGCCTCTTAATAAGTGCTTTAGGGGTACTGGACCTCGGGGTTAGGGCTGGAAGGCACAGGCAGCGCAGTGAGGAGTCCCTCGTGGGCTGTTCCATCACCACATCTGGGCAAATGCAGATTGCACCCACAGGGTTACAGCAGGCATGACCCCGCCCATTGGTCAACCCTATTCACTTCAGAATCTTACTCTCCCTAGGGAATAACCTGAAACAAAAGCAAAACCAGACCAAAGTTCTCAGCAGCAAGAGGCACTTGGAGTAACCCAGACGGAAGCTGCACTCTACAGCCAGGCTGGCCTCGGCAGTGGGTCGGGCAGTGGGACGGGCAGTGGGACGCCAGAGGACCTGGCAACACAGTGTTTCCCAATATTTCAGAGCTTTAGGAACCTGCCTTCAGCCCCTACAGCCGAACCAACAGCCTGCCTGCTCCGCAGAGGACACACACCGGTGCACCCCTCTAGGGTGGCAGTGCCCACAGGGAAGACCCATCCAGGCCAGCCACACTCAGCAGAAACCATGAGCGGGACAGAGCAGGCAAGGAGGCCAGGCACCCGGAAAAGACGACGTCCACGCGAGGGGCAAGCCGGAAAGATGACGTGCACGCGAGAAGGCAGGGCACCCCGGAAACACGACGTCCACGCGAGAAGGCAGGGGCACCCCGGAAAGACGACGTCCACGCGAGAAGGTAGGGGCACCCCGGAAAGACGACGTCCACGCGAGGGGCAAGCCGGAAAGATGACGTCCACGCGAGAAGGCCGGGCACCCCGAATAGCGCCGCATAGGCCTGGGCCCCGCACCGCCCACCCTCGTCCCCCGCGCCCACGCACCGTCCACGCGCGCACGCGCACTCACCGTAGACGCACCCACGCCGTGCACGCGCACTTATCGTCCACGTATTCACACGGTCCACGCACCCACGCCGTCCACTCACCCACACCGTCCACGCACACTCACCGTCCACGCCGCAGCGTCGCGCGAAGGGCCGGGCGCGGGCAGCGCCCTCAGACAAAGGGGCCGCCCCGCCCCGCCAGCGTAGCGGCCAATCACCGGGGGACACGCCCCCTCAGGGCCCGCCCTTCCTCCCGGGCCTCCAATCCCGAGACGCGACGCCGGCCAGCCCCGTGTCTGCCCCGCCTCGCGCGCAGGGCGCCTTCCTCGGTGATCGACAGCCGGGCAGCGCTGCGAGGACACCGAACGCCGAGGCCTCCGAGTGCCTAGAGAGGCCGCGCTGCGCCCTGCGCCGGAGCCCCGGGATCCGGCCACAGTTCCGGTGTCCGCGCAGGACCGCTCCGGCCACTCTTGGGTTGGAGCAGCCGTCTTCCCTCACCTCTCGCCTCCTGCCATGGCCCCGAGGCCCCGTGTTGGTCCCCCGCCGCCATGGCCCCGAGGCCCCGTGTTGGTCCCGCGTGGCTGGACGTGCCAGCGCCAGCCTCGGTCCGTCGCCCGGACTGTTCTCCCCAAGCGCCGGAGAGGCAGCGTGGTGTCACACCCACAGGCGTCCGGCGTCCCCTGACCCGCCGGGAGCGACCTCCTGGCTGGGCCGGAGGGAGAGGGAGCGTCGCCCTGTGCAGCCGGGGGTTCGAGCCCCGGTGAGGAACCATCGCAGAATCGGGCACAGGCAGTGTCAGGGCACTGAGGTGTGAGCGCCCGCGGGACCCAGTCGGGTCCGGAGAGGTGCGGCCACACGGCTCGACCCCTCCCGAGGGGCGGCGACACTCAAGCCTGTTACTTCCATTTTGTTTTTTAAGATTTATTTAAGTCATTTGAAAGGCAGATTTACGGAGAGACTCCTCCATCATTTGGCTCTCCCAGGTGTCCGCAGCAGCCAGCGTTGGACATGTCCGGACCTTCTTCCAGGTCTCCCACTGGAGTGCAGGGGCACAGGTACGTGGCCCATCTGCTTTCCCAGGCCATGAGCAGGGAGCTGGAGTGAAGTGGGTGAGCCAGGACTTGGGCTTGGCGCCTAAATGGGCTGAGTGGGGTGCTGGGGGCTAGGTGGTGGGTTAACTCATGATGACTGCCCTACAGGTCACGTGTGTGCACAGAACCCCGGGTGGAACAAGGAGCTTCCATCTCGATTTCAACCCCTGCCTGCTTGTGAGATGTGTGGAAACCCAGAGCTGTGTGCCCTGGCGGTCATTTTCTCATGTGGCCACCTGTGTGGAAGTGATCCCAGGCTGTCTCCCATGAGGGAATGGGCCATCAGACTCTCCCCCCTAATTATTTGAGAGGCAAAGAAACAGAGGGAGGGGAGGAGGGAGAGAGACAGAGAAACCCCATCTGTTGTGCAGTCTCCAAGTACCCTCAGTGGCTGGTTGGGCCGGAGCTGAGGCCAGGAGCTGGGAACCTGAGTGGCAGGAGCCCAAGCACATTGCTGCCTGTTAAGGATTGCTTTAACAGAAGCGAATTGAGCCTGAGCCCGGCTCGAGCCCAGGCACCATGATGTGGGACGTGAACACCCTAACTGTTCTGTTAAATGCCTGTCCCCTGTGCATTTTATCTAATAATTATTCTTTCCATATGTGTTTCTCAAAGTTGAAGTGATATGGATAGTCTTAGGCCGCGGCCCGAGTTTGGAAGCCACACTTTCTCTGCTCACCTAGGAGTCGGCTGACCCTGACCTTCATTACCTGGAACCCGACTGGGGTGGTGCTGTGTTGTGATGCAAACACTGCCTCCCAAGCCCCCATAGAAGCCCACCTCGGGGAGGGGCTGCTCTAGATTGAGTGCCTCCCAGCTGCTTGCTGCCTTGCTTCACACAGGGGTTCCAGGGACAGAGGGAGCACTCCCTTCCCCTTTCCTTTCTGGCTCAGTCTCCCTGAAGATGGCCCGCATTGGTTTGTGTTCTTCACTTCTGAATAAACTACCACTTGCTTAAGCCATGTCAGTGCCTGTGCTTAAATGCTTAAGAGGGAAGAAGCGGGCCCGGCGCGGTGGCGCAAGTGGTTAAAGGTCCTCGCCTTGCACGCCCGGGATCCCATATGGGCGCCGGTTCTAATCCCGGCAGCCCCGCTTCCCTTCCAGCTCCCTGCCTGTTGTTGATTTTGTATCAAGACCTTTCGTTTAAGGGAATGTGCAATAGTTATGTAATGGATACTAACATTCAGATGTGAGGATGTAGTGTGGTATGCATTTCTGTTTCCAGACAAAGATGGACTTACAGTGAAACTGTTTATATTATATCTTGACAATAGGATTCTGGACTCTCTGCCATTGTCCATGCCCGCAATGATGGACATATAATTGAGTATGAATGACTATATGTTAATAATGATATAAAGGAACTAGGTGGGGGGGAGGGAATTGGGGAGGGGATAAGGGAATATGGAACTGTATCATAAAATGATAGCAATAAAAATAAAATGTGGGGGAAAAAACACACACACACACAAAAATATGGACTTTTGGGCCCGGCGGTGTGGCCTAGCAGCTAAAGTCCTCACCAGAGAAAAAATTTATTAATATGAAATTGGTAACGTGGCCTGCGCTTTAACCCTCCCCCCCCCTTTTTAAAAAATGAACTACTAGTTGGACCACAGAGATCCCATGTTTACTTGTGGCTTTTCGCTCAGCAGGTAGTTTGTAATGAGTAGGGCACGACCACGATCGTCCCCGTGCAGAGGGGCTGCACTGGTCCACCGGCTGCTTCCAGGGACGGAGGCTGCGATGGAGCGACCAAGGTGACCAAATGCTCACCTTGTTAGCACCGGATCCCACCCTAACCCTGCTGGTCCGTAGGGGAAGATTCTCTGGGCGCCTCACGCGTGCAGCTGTCACTGCCGACCGGCCCAGAGGGAAGCACAGACCTGGGCAGCACAGGCCGCTCGGTGGGTGTCCGTCGGTGCGGAGCCGGCTACACCGCGCGCGTCACCCGTTTGCGGGACCGGAACGTAAAGCCGCGGGCGCACCCCGCACTGCACTCCGCCGGAGGACACACTTCTGCGTCCTCCCTTGGCCGCGCGCGCCCGGAACCCTGCGTCGCGGACGCGTTTCCGGAGGGGCGAATTTGGCGACGGACGCCATCGTGCGTAGTTCCGGCGGCGACTGCGAACATGGCGGTGAGCGGCGAGGACCTGGTTGACCCTCGTGCCGCCCTTCCCTCCGCATCCCCCGGTCCGCCCTGCCCGGGACGCGGCCGTGACGGCGCCGCCGCCTCGCGGAAGCCCAAAAAGAAGGAGAAGGCCCGGAGCGCAGCGAGTGTGCGGGACGGCGGCGACCCGGTCGCGGAGGGCGCCCCGCCGAGCGCCGAGGCCCAGGCACGGGAGGACCGGACGGGGAGGGGAGGACGGGAGGACGGGGACGGAGAGGGACGGAAGGACGGGGAGGGGAGGACGGGGACGGAGAGGGGAGGACGGGAGGGGACGAGAGGACGGGCATTTCGTGCTTCTCGGCTCTCACAGCCGCGTCCGCCCCGCCGCAGGCCGAGCAGCTGGCCCGGGAGCTGGCCTGGTGTGTGGAGCAGCTGGAGCTGGGCCTGAGGACGCGGAAAGCCACGGAGAGACAGAGTGAGGGCTGCACGGGAGGGGTGTGTGAGACCAAGCGGGAGGTGTGGGAGGTTCGGGGTGTGCGGGACTGTGCAGGGTGCACGGGAGGCGGGCGGGGTGTGCGGGACCGTGAGGAGCGTGCGGGAGGCGGGCGGGGTGTGCAGGAGGGGTGTGCGGGACCGGGCGGGGTGTGCGGGACCATGAGGGATGTGCTGGAGGTGCGGGGTGTGTGGGAAGCAGATGCACAGGAGGCAGGCGCTGACACGCTGTGTGGCCGCAGGAGAGCAGGCCTCCAGCGCCCTGCGGAGCCTGCGCAGCGAGCGGACGCCCCTGCCCCGCAAGCGGCAGCTGATGCGCACCTTATTCGGAGACTACCGTGCCCGCATGGAAGCCGAGTCCCTGGAGGCGCTGCGGTCCCTTCGGGCTGGTGAGGAGCTGCTGTCTGGGTGTCGAGGTCCAGGCGGCGGGTTGGGGTGGGGGAGCCTGAGTGCCATTCCTCCACCAGGCCTGAGCAGCCCTCAGGTCACTCCCATCTGACTGTTCCCAGCTTCTCGGGCCGCGCGGGTGCAGCCTGTCGCAGAGGCCGCCAGGAAGAAGAGCCGGAAGGTCTGCAGGCTCCGTCCAGCTCCTAGAGCTGAGGCCACTGTGGACACGCCTGAGGAAGAGTTTAAGTTCAATTTCTTCTAGTCTTTGCGGTGCATCCTATGGTGCTGTGTGGAGGTCTGGGTGGATGCAGGCCTGGTGCCTGGGTCCAGTCCATCAGGCCAATGCAGGTGTCCACATCCCCCCCAAGAGGGAGAGAGGAAGGGTGAGCATGCTCTTCAGGAGTTTATCAAGTATCTTGCCAATCGGACTTGTTGGAAAGCTGCATTTTGTACACTGGTGCTTAAATTTGATACCGTGCACATTAAATATTTCATTGTTTAACACATTTTGTCTTTTTTTTTTTTCTCAATTTTGAATTCTATGGTACATTTCTCTAGGGTCTGGGATTTCCCTACCCCTTATGTTTGCTGTGCTTCAGTGATGGACTTGGTACATGGAGCCAGTAATAGCACACGTGGACTACTGACTGTCAATAGCCAATGTTTATTAACAGCATCAGACTTTTAAAAGAAGGGTGTCACGCAGGCACCCAGGGAGGACTGCTTTGAGACATTTACATTTCAACAGCAACAGTCCACCAGTGTACAACTTGTTCCTCTAGCAGGTCCTTTATGTAAACCTGCAAACCAGTGGGTTTCGGGTTCATTCATTTCCTTCCCGGGCCTTTCAGAAGAGGTTGGACTGGCTCTGTCTCCCACAGTAGCAAAGATTCTGAATATCCTTCTGCAAATCTCCCTTCTGTGTTTTGTAAATTATACCTGAAAGATGTAGCTAGGGAGAACATGTTTTTGGAAGAGGCAAAAATGGGGAGCAGTATTATATAGTATACAAAGATAACTTCACTGGGGACCACATGCCGTAACTGCCTGTTACTCCTTCTACCTCCTGAGCATCTTTTTCCCAGGAAAATGAACCCTGGCTGCTCAGCAGGATGGGCTGACGACCACTCCAGCTGCTTCCTGCTGGAAAGGGGTGGGGGGGGGCTGCCTAACATTGCTTCAGTTTCTCCCACGCTACCATGTTTCTGAATCTAGATGTGAAGGGGTTAGGGGTTAGGGTCAGGGGTTAGGGTTAGGGTTAGGGTCAGGGGTTAGGGCTAGGGCTACGGTTAGTGTTAGGGTTAGCGTTAGGGTTAGGGTTAGGGTTAGGGGTTAGGCGTTAGGGGTTAGGGGTTAGGGTTAGGGTTAGGGGGTTAGGGTTAGGGGGTTAGGGTTGGGGTTGGGGTTAGGGTTAGGGTTAGGGGGTTAGGGTTAGGGGGTTAGGGTTAGGGTTAGGGTTAGGGTTAGGGTTAGGGTTAGGGTTAGGGTTAGGGGGTTAGGGTTAGGGGGTTAGGGTTAGGGGGTTAGGGTTAGGGTTAGGGTTAGGGTTAGGGTTAGGGTTAGGGGTTAGGGTTAGGGGTTAGGGTTAGGGTTAGGGTTAGGGTTAGGGGTTAGGGTTAGGGTTAGGGTTAGGGTTAGGGTTAGGGTTAGGGTTAGGGTTAGGGTTAGGGTTAGGGTTAGGGTTAGGGTTAGGGTTAGGGTTAGGGTTAGGGTTAGGGTTAGGGTTAGGGTTAGGGTTAGGGTTAGGGTTAGGGTTAGGGTTAGGGTTAGGGTTAGGGGTTAGGGTTAGGGTTAGGGTTAGGGTTAGGGTTAGGGTTAGGGTTAGGGTTAGGGTTAGGGTTAGGGTTAGGGTTAGGGTTAGGGTTAGGGTTAGGGTTAGGGTTAGGGTTAGGGTTAGGGTTAGGGTTAGGGTTAGGGTTAGGGTTAGGGTTAGGGTTAGGGTTAGGGTTAGGGTTAGGGTTAGGGTTAGGGTTAGGGTTAGGGTTAGGGTTAGGGTTAGGGTTAGGGTTAGGGTTAGGGTTAGGGTTAGGGTTAGGGTTAGGGTTAGGGTTAGGGTTAGGGTTAGGGTTAGGGTTAGGGTTAGGGTTAGGGTTAGGGTTAGGGTTAGGGTTAGGGTTAGGGTTAGGGTTAGGGTTAGGGTTAGGGTTAGGGTTAGGGTTAGGGTTAGGGTTAGGGTTAGGGTTAGGGTTAGGGTTAGGGTTAGGGTTAGGGTTAGGGTTAGGGTTAGGGTTAGGGTTAGGGTTAGGGTTAGGGTTAGGGTTAGGGTTAGGGTTAGGGTTAGGGTTAGGGTTAGGGTTAGGGTTAGGGTTAGGGTTAGGGTTAGGGTTAGGGTTAGGGTTAGGGTTAGGGTTAGGGTTAGGGTTAGGGTTAGGGTTAGGGTTAGGGTTAGGGTTAGGGTTAGGGTTAGGGTTAGGGTTAGGGTTAGGGTTAGGGTTAGGGTTAGGGTTAGGGTTAGGGTTAGGGTTAGGGTTAGGGTTAGGGTTAGGGTTAGGGTTAGGGTTAGGGTTAGGGTTAGGGTTAGGGTTAGGGTTAGGGTTAGGGTTAGGGTTAGGGTTAGGGTTAGGGTTAGGGTTAGGGTTAGGGTTAGGGTTAGGGTTAGGGTTAGGGTTAGGGTTAGGGTTAGGGTTAGGGTTAGGGTTAGGGTTAGGGTTAGGGTTAGGGTTAGGGTTAGGGTTAGGGTTAGGGTTAGGGTTAGGGTTAGGGTTAGGGTTAGGGTTAGGGTTAGGGTTAGGGTTAGGGTTAGGGTTAGGGTTAGGGTTAGGGTTAGGGTTAGGGTTAGGGTTAGGGTTAGGGTTAGGGTTAGGGTTAGGGTTAGGGTTAGGGTTAGGGTTAGGGTTAGGGTTAGGGTTAGGGTTAGGGTTAGGGTTAGGGTTAGGGTTAGGGTTAGGGTTAGGGTTAGGGTTAGGGTTAGGGTTAGGGTTAGGGTTAGGGTTAGGGTTAGGGTTAGGGTTAGGGTTAGGGTTAGGGTTAGGGTTAGGGTTAGGGTTAGGGTTAGGGTTAGGGTTAGGGTTAGGGTTAGGGTTAGGGTTAGGGTTAGGGTTAGGGTTAGGGTTAGGGTTAGGGTTAGGGTTAGGGTTAGGGTTAGGGTTAGGGTTAGGGTTAGGGTTAGGGTTAGGGTTAGGGTTAGGGTTAGGGTTAGGGTTAGGGTTAGGGTTAGGGTTAGGGTTAGGGTTAGGGTTAGGGTTAGGGTTAGGGTTAGGGTTAGGGTTAGGGTTAGGGTTAGGGTTAGGGTTAGGGTTAGGGTTAGGGTTAGGGTTAGGGTTAGGGTTAGGGTTAGGGTTAGGGTTAGGGTTAGGGTTAGGGTTAGGGTTAGGGTTAGGGTTAGGGTTAGGGTTAGGGTTAGGGTTAGGGTTAGGGTTAGGGTTAGGGTTAGGGTTAGGGTTAGGGTTAGGGTTAGGGTTAGGGTTAGGGTTAGGGTTAGGGTTAGGGTTAGGGTTAGGGTTAGGGTTAGGGTTAGGGTTAGGGTTAGGGTTAGGGTTAGGGTTAGGGTTAGGGTTAGGGTTAGGGTTAGGGTTAGGGTTAGGGTTAGGGTTAGGGTTAGGGTTAGGGTTAGGGTTAGGGTTAGGGTTAGGGTTAGGGTTAGGGTTAGGGTTAGGGTTAGGGTTAGGGTTAGGGTTAGGGTTAGGGTTAGGGTTAGGGTTAGGGTTAGGGTTAGGGTTAGGGTTAGGGTTAGGGTTAGGGTTAGGGTTAGGGTTAGGGTTAGGGTTAGGGTTAGGGTTAGGGTTAGGGTTAGGGTTAGGGTTAGGGTTAGGGTTAGGGTTAGGGTTAGGGTTAGGGTTAGGGTTAGGGTTAGGGTTAGGGTTAGGGTTAGGGTTAGGGTTAGGGTTAGGGTTAGGGTTAGGGTTAGGGTTAGGGTTAGGGTTAGGGTTAGGGTTAGGGTTAGGGTTAGGGTTAGGGTTAGGGTTAGGGTTAGGGTTAGGGTTAGGGTTAGGGTTAGGGTTAGGGTTAGGGTTAGGGTTAGGGTTAGGGTTAGGGTTAGGGTTAGGGTTAGGGTTAGGGTTAGGGTTAGGGTTAGGGTTAGGGTTAGGGTTAGGGTTAGGGTTAGGGTTAGGGTTAGGGTTAGGGTTAGGGTTAGGGTTAGGGTTAGGGTTAGGGTTAGGGTTAGGGTTAGGGTTAGGGTTAGGGTTAGGGTTAGGGTTAGGGTTAGGGTTAGGGTTAGGGTTAGGGTTAGGGTTAGGGTTAGGGTTAGGGTTAGGGTTAGGGTTAGGGTTAGGGTTAGGGTTAGGGTTAGGGTTAGGGTTAGGGTTAGGGTTAGGGTTAGGGTTAGGGTTAGGGTTAGGGTTAGGGTTAGGGTTAGGGTTAGGGTTAGGGTTAGGGTTAGGGTTAGGGTTAGGGTTAGGGTTAGGGTTAGGGTTAGGGTTAGGGTTAGGGTTAGGGTTAGGGTTAGGGTTAGGGTTAGGGTTAGGGTTAGGGTTAGGGTTAGGGTTAGGGTTAGGGTTAGGGTTAGGGTTAGGGTTAGGGTTAGGGTTAGGGTTAGGGTTAGGGTTAGGGTTAGGGTTAGGGTTAGGGTTAGGGTTAGGGTTAGGGTTAGGGTTAGGGTTAGGGTTAGGGTTAGGGTTAGGGTTAGGGTTAGGGTTAGGGTTAGGGTTAGGGTTAGGGTTAGGGTTAGGGTTAGGGTTAGGGTTAGGGTTAGGGTTAGGGTTAGGGTTAGGGTTAGGGTTAGGGTTAGGGTTAGGGTTAGGGTTAGGGTTAGGGTTAGGGTTAGGGTTAGGGTTAGGGTTAGGGTTAGGGTTAGGGTTAGGGTTAGGGTTAGGGTTAGGGTTAGGGTTAGGGTTAGGGTTAGGGTTAGGGTTAGGGTTAGGGTTAGGGTTAGGGTTAGGGTTAGGGTTAGGGTTAGGGTTAGGGTTAGGGTTAGGGTTAGGGTTAGGGTTAGGGTTAGGGTTAGGGTTAGGGTTAGGGTTAGGGTTAGGGTTAGGGTTAGGGTTAGGGTTAGGGTTAGGGTTAGGGTTAGGGTTAGGGTTAGGGTTAGGGTTAGGGTTAGGGTTAGGGTTAGGGTTAGGGTTAGGGTTAGGGTTAGGGTTAGGGTTAGGGTTAGGGTTAGGGTTAGGGTTAGGGTTAGGGTTTAGGGTTAGGGTTAGGGTTAGGGTTAGGGTTAGGGTTAGGGTTAGGGTTAGGGTTAGGGTTAGGGTTAGGGTTAGGGTTAGGGTTAGGGTTAGGGTTAGGGTTAGGGTTAGGGTTAGGGTTAGGGTTAGGGTTAGGGTTAGGGTTAGGGTTAGGGTTAGGGTTAGGGTTAGGGTTAGGGTTAGGGTTAGGGTTAGGGTTAGGGTTAGGGTTAGGGTTAGGGTTAGGGTTAGGGTTAGGGTTAGGGTTAGGGTTAGGGTTAGGGTTAGGGTTAGGGTTAGGGTTAGGGTTAGGGTTAGGGTTAGGGTTAGGGTTAGGGTTAGGGTTAGGGTTAGGGTTAGGGTTAGGGTTAGGGTTAGGGTTAGGGTTAGGGTTAGGGTTAGGGTTAGGGTTAGGGTTAGGGTTAGGGTTAGGGTTAGGGTTAGGGTTAGGGTTAGGGTT